AACCTTGCTCGACGCGACTTCTGGCGTGGAGGACAGGAAGGTGGGTGGGGAGGCGGGTATTGGTTGGAGGGAGAGTCCCCCTCCCTACAGGAAGCCACGACCACGTGTCACGGGCGGGAAGATGGCCGCGGATCCTGTTCGTCACCCGATCCGGCATTCGCGAACGGAAGCAAAATTTTGCGAACGGAGCTGTTCGTGACCCGAATTGGTCGTGAACAGAAGTGTTTGTGACCCGAGGTACCACTGTATTGTATTTATAAACTTCAAGAGTATGGACAGAGTGTATGCCTTAGATGTCACAGAATTCTTATCAACATTTACATGCCATTTAAAATAGTGATTGGGATAGCTCCTTTGGTAACCTTTTAATCCAAAATTAATGTTATTGATTCATCTATTGTGGAAGAGTTGTACAACATTGTAAATTGTGCCTTTTTTTTTTTTGCAGGCCTGACCTGTGCTACTAATTTTGACTTTGTGTAGAGATGGAGTTTTGGGCTCTTCAGTGATCCAGATTTAAAGAGCAAAATGCAATTTGGAGTGCCCATGGGTATATATATATAGCACCTATCCACAACACCTTAAACTAAATGCTTTTTTTCCAAGGATTGTGTGCCAGCTACGGAGGGCAGTCACATGATCTGAGGAAAAGATGTAGTTGTTTTAAGGTATTTCCTACAGGTGCTACAAATAAAATCACAGTTTGCTCTTTAAATCTAGAGCTCTGTACTTCCCTAATGGAGTTTATTGTTTCTGTGTGGGTGTATTTACAGAAATTTGCCTCTTTTTAATATCCTGATTTCCAGTTTTGCACAGAAACAAAATTGTTTGATGGGGGGTTTTTTTAGTAAAGAAGCAAATATGATTTTCTAGCAACATAGTCAAAGTTTTTGGAGTTGTGCTGTTTATAACAGTCCAATCTGAGTAGAGGAACTAAGAAGAAAAAACTGTTGAATTGGATGAGAAAATTGGGAAGATAGCTGGCTGAGTGTTAAAAGAAATTGGCAGCTGGTTTGGAACATAGTATTTAACCTCCTCAGAACTTTTTATCCATAGATCTTATCTTGGCAAACCATTAGTAAGTTTTTAAACACTGAGGCTGCAACCTTGATGTTAAAAATGTTTTCTTGGAAAATTTCTGAGACCCATTTTAGTTTGTATTAGGACTGGAATGGACTAGGTAGAATTACTCCAAGGACTGAATCTACCCCAAAGGCTTTCAAATTGCCTTTTGGGCTTTAAAATAATTTGTTCCTGTTTACAGGTAGTCCTTGACTTACAACCATTCATTCAGCAACCATTCAACATTACAAAGGCACTGAACAAGGGGGACTTATGACTGGTCTGTGAAGTTGCGGCTTCCCCACGGTCACATGATCACCATTTGCACCCTTCCCTGCTGGCTTCCCACAAGCAAAGTCAAGGGGGAAGCTGACAGGGAAGGTTGCAAGTCACTCCCTTCACTCTTGCCACTTTTTCTCCCAAGGAGCTCCAGTACCGGCCTGCCTGTTCTCCCCAATGCCCTGCCGCTGCCCTCCCTGGCCCACCCACGCTCTCCAGCGCCCACCTGCTCCCTCACCAGGCTGCCCCTGCTCCCCAGCATCCACCTGCGGCCTTGCTGGCCTGCCCACTCTCCCCAGTGCCTGCCTGCTGCCCTTACCAGTCTGCTTGCGTCCCTAGCAGCCACCCACAGCACCCACCCACGCTCCTTACCTGGGACTCCCACCTCTTCCTGCTTAACGACCCACCTGGGGTTACAGTGGCAACCAGGACTGCTGAGATTGCTGTCGCTAAGCGATGCTGTCACATGATGTTGCGCTCTATTATCGCATCGCTTAGCAACAGCAATCCTAGTCCTGGTTTGTTTGTTTATTTATACAGTACTGTGCAAAAGTTTTAGGCAGGTATGAAAAAATGC